CACCAGACAGTTGGCGTCGGAGTTCACCGCCGCTGCCATCCCCTGATCGTCGTTGTCTCTGTCGAGCCTCCGTCAACATCCACCACCGTCAGCCAAGTTTCCAGATCCGCCGGCCATGTCGCCTCCGTCAACACTTCGCCGCCGTTACCAGCCGTCTCAGTCCGCCCTCAACCACCAGACAGTCATGTTGCAGTCGACAACAACCTTGCAGACGCCTGCCTTCCATCTCAGACCGCCCTGAACCACCATACCATCACCCGCTTTCAGCCGCCACCGACGAGCTAAACCCTACAGGCGATTAGGTGTTCGACGAAGCCAAGGTGGCCGAGGATGGCAGCTTCAAGATGTCGGGAGCGGTACTATGGATAGGGGCTGCAGGAGGAGCGAGCTACCGCCGACGGTGGAGAGATCCGGCCAAAACCGTCTAAGGCGGCGGGGAGGGCGACGTCGAGCGAGGGCGGTGGAGCTCCGGACGTCGGACCTCAGGTAGCGGCGGTGGTCGGCGGTGGATTGAGGATGAGCAGAGAAGTGACAATATGTTTTTGGTGTGGGGCTTCACTTTGAGAATTTGACAAGCTGAAAGGACCCATTTGCAATTTCCTCAATCTTATTATATTACATCTTATTCCTTAGATTAAATATATGATTTCTAAAAATACAAAATACACAATAACAATTAATAAAATGCACAATAACAATACACGAAATGCACAATATTGTGTGATGATATACACGTTACAAAAATATTATATTATTATGAAATTACATAACCGCTATCGCCTACATGTTTAGAAGTTTATAAATTTACCAGTTAGCTCACATTATACTAAAATATCATAATCGAAATTATCAAGTTGAGATTTTGGAAAAAAAAATGGACGAAATTTTTTTTTATATAGGTATACGGTGCATTATGCAATCAGTAACGTGCAATTCATATAACACTATTGTGCATTCATACATTTTTTAATGATTTGTCCTAAACCAATCTAAAACGTAACCGAAAAAATCGATTTGTTTGATCGCTTGAAAAAATTACTGTAAATATTCAAAATAATTTATTATTTATATTATAAAGATATATTGAGTATTTTAAATTTTGCATTTAATATATTTATATTATTTTTGGTTAAAATGTGCATTCCTATGGACACTAATGTGCATTTCCTGTAACATTATTGTGCAATCTATTGTGCAATTTATTTATTTATTTATTTATTTATTATTATTATTATTATTATTTTTTTTTTGGGTAATGCAAAAATAGACAAGTTTAATAATGTGTATTTCAAAATTGACATTATTGTGCAATCTCATATGCATTAATGTGCATATTGTTGAACATTATTATGCAGAATATAATTTCCATTGTGCAAAGTTGATGTTTTTTATTTGCATTGTTTTTATTCATTATTTTATTTTACTTTTATAATTCTTTTAACATTCTACATTTTTTAACCTTTTAACTTATTATTCTAATATATGTAAAATATAATATAATATTATATTATTTTTATAAATTACAATTAAGTTCCTGAACATTATCAAATTCTCAATGAAAAACCCCACAATTCTCCTTCACTTCAACCATCATTCCAGTCCCAAAATTGGCCCATTTTCATCCCAATATCCTCCGGCGGGCGAACTCAGACCAATTAATCACCAATAAACATTAATCAAAAGGCCCTATCGGCCGAATCACGACAAGCCCTATCTACAGAAAAATTTCACAACAAACCGGAAAAAGAATTCTGGTATTTATGATGCCATCTAGATCGTTAGGTTAATCGAAGGCCCTGTAGGTGTGTACGACGCCGCCGTCGCGTCGATTGCCACCATGTTTGCCGATCTCGTGAGCGGAGCCGTTGGGAACAACAACCGGGAAAAGAATTTCGCGAATGAAACGCTTGGCGGCGGAAAAAGGGAAAAGATTGTCGTCCGAGATAGGCGGTGGCAATTGAAGGCTATGGTGGCGGCGGTATCGGCGATGGTGGTCAGTGGAATCGACGGTGGCGCCGGCGTGAGTGTACGTTCTGTGGGTGCACAGATTGTGTGTGAGTCGGGTGTGTACGGAGGTGCAAAGATGGAGGCGGAAATGGCGGCGGGAGTGGCTGAGCCGGAGGAAAATTGTGCCTGACGGTGATTTGAGTTTCTTCCCGGTGATTTGAGTTTCAGTGTGTGAGTGTTGTGTGAGAGAGAAAAGGAGAGTGAGGAAGGTGTATGTATACATGTCTGCGTGTGTGTAATTGTGTGTGTGGGTGCGTGAGACAAAGTGAGAGTTGCAAGATTTATACGTGTTAATTAATTGTCTAATAACAATTACACAATTAGCCTTAAGAGTTATGCGCGTGTGGGCTGCTTGAGCGCGTCAGATTAATTTAATTATGTGGCTAGGATGTAATATTCTCATCGGAGCGCGACCCAAATTAGATAGATGACCTTAAAATTGTGTACTCTATACCAGTAATAAATTACAAAAAAGATATTCTGGATTAACTCATCCGAAAAAAACAAATTAAAAGAAAAAAAAAACAGTCAACAAAAAACTGCTGCGTGCAGTGACTCTTTTATCCCACCACGTCACACACAGTGGGCAACTGTTGACTATCCTTCCATCAAAACCGAGTCAGCTCACTTCGGCGTGTGAACTCGAGATGGCTCGCCGAGTCCTCCTTCCAAATCCAACTCAGCGGCTCTACAGCTGCCGCTGCTACTCTCCGTCCGCGGCGATTTTCTGCTCATGCTTAGCAATCTCTTGAACGATAGCAGCCGGCTTACGGGCGAGCGCTGAGTCAACTCGCTCTCTAGCTCCACCCGCCTCGATGGCCCCACCTCTATCCTCACATCCACCGCTTTCCCCCGCCGGCCGGGCAACGCCGCGACGGCGTCTCCGCCGCCCTCACTCTCGTTGCACTCCCCGTGCCGGCACTCGACGCACATCCCGGACTCGGACCCGGAACTGATGGATCCGGCCTCCCCAGCCACCTCCACCACCACCGCGACCGCGGACGGCTCGGCCAGATTCGGCGGCTTCTCGACCGGGGAGCGGCAGAGGGGGCAGGTGGTGTGGGAGTGGAACCACATGTCGATGCACCCTACGTGGAAGGAGTGGCCGCACCCCGGCAGCAGGCGCACGATCTCCTTCTCCTCGAACTCCGATAAGCACACGGCGCATTCAAGTAGGGGCCGCCCTTCCGCCGCCGCCTGCGGCGGCGCGGCGGAGAACACGAAGGCTGGGAGAGAGCTCAGGACTGCCGGATCTAGGCCGGCGC